CCATTGAGATATTCTCGTAAGATCTTCGTTTAAGGCGAGGATGGACGTGGGTAATTCGGCAGGTGAAAAGGACAAGTACAATTTACAGTCATCAACATAGGAGGCAGATAGACAACGTTTAGGAACAGAAAGGAGGTCGTTAACATAGATTGTAAACAAAACCGGACCTAAAATAGAGCCTTGCGGAACTCCGAACTCAAGTGGGAGTACTTTAGAAACTGCGTCACCTATTCGAACGCACTGTTGTCGGTTAGAAAGGTAACTCTGAAACCAATTCAACGCATCCTGGGAAAAATCGAGATTTTGTAGCTTGGATAACAAGATGTCGTGTCGAATACTATCAAATGCTTTAGACATGTCTAAAGGTACAGAAACAGGCACCATGGCCACAATTCATGCCTTTCTTCGTAGACATCACACTGACGTTGTGGATCCTGCAGACACAATTTTGTATGGTCCATCAACTTCAAACCAAGTAAGTAAGCTCATCTCTCAAGTGCTGTCTAATTATATTATGTGAGTGTGCCAAATTAGTCAACGAGTCTTTCGGTGACTTTATTTGAGTGCCAGGAAAAGTATTATTGTTGTTTGTTATTTCATCATTCCCTCAGTAACAAGTAATATTTTAATCCACCCTATCATCTGATTTCAGGCAAATGCACATTTCACAAAATGTCATTTAAAAAAACGTTTTCCTCTAGATCGAAAGATGGTGGAAAGAATTACACGAAAGAATGGAAAAATTTTTCAAAAGTCAGTTAAGATGGCTTAAAGATCAAGGGCATTATGACCCACATGATGATATTGACAGGTGAGAATGGGCAAGTCTCCCCCTCCACCTCCACCCACACGCACACATACACAGGCTATTCATTTCAAGGTTTGTTTTTAAACTCCAAAAGTGACGTTGAGTTATTGTTTTAGAATATGTTGCAGTTTTGCTAGGGCATGGCACGTGGGTGATTGAAAGCTCAATCAACATAAACATTATTTTGCCTAAAGTTAATATACATACATTTTTTATAGCAAATTAATTAATTTCTGTGTGAATGCAATAACACATCCCCTCCCCCTAAAGCTTATATATACTCGAGTCAAATAGATATGGTTGAGGGGGCCCAGGAAAAATTTTTGTTAGGGAACCCCCCCCCAAAAAAAAAAAAAAAAAAAAAAAAAAAAACTTGCTGGCTTATATATTGTAATTGAAACTACCTATACACCAAGGTGCTTGTTACCTTTGCTTATTTTGTTTTCCTACATAGGAAGCTTCTTTCTTTTATTATGGTTCCTGTGGTTCAGAGAAAGCTAGATACATTCAAGGAGATGGTGTGGAATTCCCACAGGATCAGAGCCGAGAAGGACACAGTTTTACCAGATGGAGTCCCAAACCATATTTACAGTTTTCCTCAGAAATATGGGCTTGAAGAATGCGGTAAAAAAATTATAAGGTTTTGTCAAAACTGGTTTTGGGATATTTCTGTTTTATTCAAAGTGAACTATGGCATAGTTATAATGCTTCAACAATCAACCAATGATAATTTATTTGTAGAAATTTCAAGGCATAATTTTATTGCCCAGAAGGAAATTATTTGTTGCTAAAATCTTTGGGCCTGAAAGTCGCATATCTATAAAAACCTAATGTGGTGCTGACACTGCCAGTCACACTAGGTGATGAATGCTAACATTGTTTTCTATTGGCAATGTGCAGGTCTTCAAGTAACTGATGATCAACTAAAAGAAGCTGCTGTCCAGTCAGGCATCCTTACTGTTGATGATGACTTTCTCGCCCCTGAGTTCAGAGCAGAGTGTGAACGAATCATTGACACTGACCATTTGAAACCTGCTGATTGCAAGGAAGCATTTCTTTTCCTAAAGAGAAATTTTTCTTTGTAATAACTCCACTGTTTATCCATGGTGTTATGCCCTTGACTCTATTTTTATAGTGAAAGCAGCATGTTTTCTCCCACATCCTCCATTTTGTTACTATGAACTTTGTGCAGCCATAAACAACAAATTCATCTGCCAATGAACTGTGCTTTAATCATTGAATTAAACTGAACATTTCTGAACACTGTATGTGCGAACCGCCCAAGGTAATTGCATCAAAAGGGGTGTAACATGCAATACAGTAGAAAAGTCAAAACTTTATTACGTGTAATTGAAGTGAACAGGAACAACATATTAACAATCAATGCTGGCACTAATAGAAAAAAAGAAATAAACAGTGTAATTATCACCACTGTAGTTATTTAATTATTTTTTAATGCATAATAATATTGCAGATTAAGGGACCCACAACTATCTTTAATTCGAATGATAATGTATCTGAACATGATATCCATAACCTTTGTGGAAATAAACTGGAACGAACAATAACACTGATGGCAATAACAGTAACATCGAAAGGGCAGCAGAAACAAGAAAAACTATGCACCCTACTAATACAAATAATACAAATTTTAACCATCAATCCTCACATGGTGGGTTGAGGAGAAACATTAACAAGAGCAGGTTTTTTGGTGTCCTAAATTGGGGTACATGAAAACATATCTGCTTGAGGGTGAATTCAGCAACAACAAGGTTGGTTAATATCACAATCCTGCAGCCCACCCCTGGAAACAAATTATGACTGCCCCGTAAATTATCATATGTAACCATGGGATTTTATGTGAACTAGCTATTTTGTAAACAGTGTATCAAGTTTTGTCAACAATGTCTCAATGTTCACAATTTTATAGCAGCTTGAGTTGCCCCTTAATTTTCTATTGCTGGTAGGCCAAGCAAGTTACAGAACAAACTACAAGTGTGCTCTTTCACAAATGTTGAAATTGCTACTTTGGAAAGATTTCCAGTACAATACAGGTATTGCTTGTCACCCTCGTCCAGTAAATCTGTAGAAGCAATTTCTGGGTCAAATAAGTCATATCCACTTCCCTGGATGTCAACTAGCATAAGTTTTTTCTTTGATCTCTCATACGTGAAGTGTGTCAAACACTCTGCCTTCTGGGCCATCTCATCTGTAGGATCGACACAGGTTTGGCCAGTGTTGTTTACGTACTTCTTAAACTGGCCAGGGATAAATTCTTCGACTGTAACATACTCCCCCTCGTCTGTTTCTCCATGAAAGATCTTTCTATATCTAAATGCAGTTCCAAAAACCTCGCTTTCCTCCTTGATTTCTGCCTCAAGTTGCGAAGCAAAATTCCTAGCTAGGAGATGCATCTGAACAACCTTGCGGTTGTGTTGCTCGATAGTTTGACCGGTATCCGAGATGCACTTTAAAGCACTTGGTAGATAGTGCTTTATCACCCACGTTGTCGCAACAACTTCTGGATGTTTGGATGTTGCTTTGAATGCTTTACGGAATCCGCCAGTTCCGATTGCCTCTTTATCCTCATAGAACTCGACAGTGGTTGGAACTTTGGACCACGACAAAACTTCCATATCGAATCTGAAAATTCTCACAATAGTAGTGGCGGTATTTGTGTTGATTTTGCCAAGTTTGATCATGTCAGAAATTGATAAACTTCGAGGGTAATACGTACTTTTTGTGCCCGCTGCTTGTGTGGGTAATTTCTGTCTCGAATGCATAAGTTTACTGGGGCTTGACCTTGATTTTGACGGCGGAGGATTAAATTCGGTATAAGTCGAGGACTCTCCAGTTGCGTCCTTCCTCTTTCTCGTGGAATTCTGGGTGCTGTTGACATCGCCTTCATCAGCTGGATCTGGAATGAAGCGGACGTATACAACCTTTAAGTCCGGTATTTGGGCAAGAGTCTTGCACGATGGGCCCTGTTCTCCTGCTAAGATATCACATACGAGATTCTTTCCGATTTTTTGTAGAAAATGCCTCTCACAAGCGCTCTTGATATTACCAATGGTCAATTCCTCCGTTTCGTCGAAGGGAACAAACTCTCTTGGCCCAATCCTTGTATACTTTTGGGCCTTTCCAGAAACTTCTGCTGACAAACGTTGAACTGTCAGTTCATCTTTCCTTCGATGGTCCTTGGGCTGGTTTTTTTTGGTACGCTTTGCTTTAACTTTTTCATTGAGCCTCTTCCATGCATCGGCCATGATGAACTCGAGCGTGTGACAGTAACGCACGCAATGCATGCTGGTAGTGGCAGCTCTCGGCTGGGTCGAATAATTTCATTTTTTTTTTACTTGGTTTTATTTTATTTTATTTTTATTTCAATTGATTTTACTTTCACTCTATTTTAAAATAAAAAAATAAATTGAAAAATAAAAAAAAATGTAAATCAAAATAAAAAAGAAAACAATTTTCTTTCAAAAATGCGGATTTTTCTATTGGCAGTTCTCGGCCACCAAAGAGGTGAAAAGCCTTCGCATTTTACCTCTGAGTAAAAACAAAATGGTGTAAAGCAGTGATCACCACTTGTTTTTCTCAATTTGTCAGAAAATTAAATATTTATTAGTGGCTGGTTATTCACTTGCAAAATGTTAACTGTTTTTGTTCATGACAGCTGCCATGAGGGTGCATTTCAAGACCAAAAAAAGGCATAAAAAAACAAAGACACCAACAGACAAGTAGAAGTGCTCCAAGACCAGCACATTAGGAGTAGGAAGAATACAGTAAGTTTTTAGTTACTTGATAATTTCATTACACAGCTTGAAACGATCCTACTCTAAACTCGCAAAATTTTACGCCTACCAGTACTATATAACTAATGTAAAATTTATGTTTGGTACAGAAACGTTTGAAACGCTGCAAAGCTCTATTCCAATCTACATCTATTGGGGAAGAGGAAAAAGAGAAATACCGCTTGTGCCTCTCATCTGCAGATTACATGTCCTCAGAACATTCAATGTCTGAGGACAACAGTGCTGGGAACAGCAGTTCTGAGGACGAAGCCCCCTCAAAACAAAAGGTGCTACGTAGGAGGCCTCTTATGTGGAGGAGCAGTGAGCTAAACTCTCTGTTTAGCCGATTAGATCGAAAGAGTGCGAGAAAGCGGTCACAGAGGAGTGCCTCTATGATGATTGAGAGGAAAGATGGCCCTCCATCTACTCGAGAGGCACCAGAAGATGCTCCAGCATTTGCTTTGTCATAAACGAAATTTGATTACTATACATTTTAGATACAAAAGAAAAGGTTTTACTTACCAGTATTGCGACAGCATGACTTACAGAAGTTCAAAAGTAAAAGACTCACTGAGTTTGGCCATTTGTTCACTGTTCTTATGTTAGACATGTATCTAGAATGTAGTATTGATATGAATATTGCAATCAACAATCCATCACTGAGGTGAAAAAAAAAGCGTGTCAAAACAAGTTTTAGAAACTTTAGAGTGTTCTTTGCTTAAATGGTGGTTTCCTTACAACAAGGCAAATACTGGAGCATCTTGTGGTTTTCAGGAATATCATTTGTAAAATATTTAGTTGAGGTTTAGGCACTTATGCTTTAAATGTGTGGCAGAAATTTACATAAAGCTCATTTGGTTTCTTTTTTTGTTACTGTTCAGTGCAGCTTTCAAACATTTTTATCCACTTTTCAATTTTTTTAGAACTTGTAGAAAGTAATTTCGAAAATATCAGAGAATGCCATCATAGTTATTGTTACAGTTAACAATTTAAATGATAAAAATAATGTGGTATGATAGCATGCATAAATACTCAATTTACTTTCTTACATACAGCTTGGAGTAAATATTGGAAAAAAAGTAATATATGCATAAGTGAATCATCCAAGAATTTTCAAACAAACAATACTCTACTGTTAATGTGCTTAACAGTGTAGCAGTCAAATTTATGTATGACAGTTTTTATTACCAAATTGAAAAATGAGATAAATAGAATATCTTAAAACGTTATTGGTAGCTATATGTCAGTACTCAAACCTACTTTAAAGATCAATGCTGTTTATATCAGAAGTTATAAGTCAAGTTATGTTTTTGTGGTCCAATTGAACAAAGACAAATAAACTATTTAAAAAGTAATTGGCTGGTTAGTTCTAAAACCTAATATATAGATCTATACTATTTATAACAGTGGTTCTAAATATTCTGTTAACCCCAGTAAGCTGAAGTTGACACTCCCTTATAAGCAAAGTTAGATGTTTGTTCTCATTTGCTTATCTCAGCAAACTTATTTGGTACTGAGAATTTGATCATGTTTGCTATACAGAGCGAAGTTGGTCAATGCTGTTTTGGTCAAGAGTTTGCTCACATTTACCATACCAAGCAAACTGGGTCAAACTTTTGATTTTGTCAACATTTTATTATCTGAGCAAACTTATTCAATACTAACAATTTGATCATATTTGCCATACGGAGCAAACTTGCTCAATACCAAGAATTTGCCAGCAATTACCTGCTTATGCAAACCTCATCAATTCTACGAGTTTGATCATGTTTGCTGATCCAAATAAACACTCCAAAATTACGCTTTTGAGCACATTTACAGCGTTTTGTGAGCTTGCTGGTAATCATAAGTTTGCATGTTTTTACATCGGAAGCAAACGTGGCGCAAAAAAGGAGATCTGCTCATAAATTTGCCTCGTATGTAAACAGGCATCAAATAAACACATTTACATCCACATTTGCCCCATGGGCAAATGAAACGAAAATTCATAGCTGCACAATACTTTTGTACAAGAGTGGAAATCTTTAACAAATGTGGCATTTACCATCTTTGCTACGGGTAACAAATGTGGTGTAAAATCGATCTTTGTTCTTTGGCATATGTACAAATGTGGTATTTACTTCAGTTTTGTTATAGATTTGCTACCAACGTAAATCCATTTTTTCGTCCAGTGTATATGCCAAAGAGCTTTCTTCTTGTTAGGGCTCCAGTTGGGGTCATCACTTTTCGGCACAAAATTGCATGCCTCCAACACAGGTTATGCAACCTTAATATCAACTTTGGTGACCTCTTTCTGTCCTAGGCATAAAAAATTTCCACCATTTCGCACAGGGTGGCCAGCAAAGCTCTCACATCATGGGTTGTTGTCTGGTAAAGGGCTACAGTTAAATAGATTAGTGTCTTGCGATAATCTACTCCTCGTTTTTTCTCTTTGTTAAGTTGAACAGCTAGTATTTCTTTAAGTTTTATCAGTGTATCAATGTCAGAAATGTGATGTGGGATTTCTTCCAGAATGTTTTTAATGTGATTCATGGAGCAGTGAAGAGCTTCAAAACACAGTACCTCGTAGGACTGGAGGTTGAGACTTTCCACAGAAACACTCTCATCCCTAAACAACAGTGCTGGAATTCTTGTTGCCCCTCCAAGTTCTTCATTTAAAATTTCTGCAAGTTCTGGTTTGGTTTTGTCTGAATCTCCAAGTCCTCTTGCTTCAATTTCAGCTCGTAGCTCATTGACTTTGAGATCTTTAAATGGGTTCAAGAGTTGTTTTGCTTCTTTTTCTTTCCTTCCTGCTAACACCAGCTGTTGCCGTTCAGTCAATGTTCTGTACTTTCTTTGGGCCATGTAATCTAGATCGTGGCACATGCTTAAATGCCCATCTCAACCTGGGCAACCATAATGCCCTCCATGCTGATTTACACATTCAAAGTTTGCTGCAGGGTTGTCTCCATTCATAAACTTCATCTCATCTTCTACTTCAACATCCTCCTCTGTTTTCACTTTTTGGGTTAAATTTACTAAATCATCATGTCTGGCTGGAACAAATTTTATCTGATCTTCAATGCTGGAACTGCTCTGTCCCAGCATATACAGATAGGGCCTCTCCACTGTTGCCTGGACATCCACATCTTTTCCATATTGAACTCTAGCTTCTGCGTCAGAGAGATGAATTGCTGGGTCATACATCTCTCTCACACAAAAGAGCATGTGACCATAATTTGAAAGGGTTGAATGGTCATGCCAAATCAGCCAATGCCACTTCCGCTGAAAGTTTTTCAGCCTTTGTTTGATTTCATCATGTGTTCCACTTATATCCTCACTGATCTTTTCTAGCTCTGCTCGAATCTCACTTTCAGTGAGCTCTTCATAAAATGCATCGTTTTTTATTCGGAGGAGGTCTTTGTTTTTAATCAATGCTTCTTTTCCAATGTCTTGGAAGGGAATTTTCCTTGCTTGCAAGTGGCATTTCTTCTGCTCTATCTCTCCTTGTGCATTTATAGCCAATTTGGTAATCTCTCTTTCTATCACTGGCTCTCCTATGTTAAATTTGCCACTCTCTATTCCCTCATGGATGCTTTGCTTGAGTTGTTTATTTGATTGCATCACAGGCACGGAAATTTCTCCCCCCTTTTGCTTCCTCATAGCTCTGCGTACCCTGAATCCTGGAAAATTAATCTAACCTTTTGTTACATGAGGCTAGAGAAATGATAAAAACTCATGAAATAATTATAGGGTCACATATTCATCATTAACTTGACTTAGACTGTTGTATGCATTCTTATTTCAGGCCTACTTCTTCTAATGTTTTTCTAATTTGTAGTCTAATTAAACTGATGAAAATGATGATTAGCAGTATTGCTGGTACTTCTAAATTCTAAATTTTAACTCTTAAATCTCACTGTTCTTTAATTAATAAATAAAATTTTGTTCAATCCTAATACACAATTTCTTTCTCTTATAAATGATATTGCAGAGATGTAACTCTTGGCTTAGTTACAAATTTACCACTTTTTTTACCTGTAAGGCCATCCTCTGAATTGAGATGCACTTCTGATGGGGGCTTAAATCGGGTAATGTCTACTTTTTTTGACTGTAAAAAGGCTTTGACTAATTGCCCTCCATTGCCAGGTGTTGAAGCACTTCCCTTGGTTTTGATGTTGTACATTCTGGCCTTTTCTGACCAGTTTGGAGGACCATCAGGCCATGACTCTACATCTGCTAGTAGCTGGTCCAACTTTCCTTCTATGTTAGCAGGTGAAGCTGTGTGGGATCGTTCCCTGACCTTTGGTGGGGTCGTTTTTGCTCTCTCCTTGGCCTCTTCAAAGGTTTCAAAGGACAGGGCCATTCTTTGGACTTGTCTTGAACTGTAAGACTGACGAAGGCTAAGGTGAACAGCACTGTCATTTTGTGACATTTTGGTCTCTTGTTCTTTTTTGTTTGCCTTCGCTCATTTCTCTTCATTTTTTTCTTTT